GAACAATGATTTCATCTTGCTCAATGATCAACCAAATCTCACTCTCCAAGCATCACTCTCAACTCATCATTGTACCAGATCTCACTTGTAAACTTCAGTTCTTTTATGAACATGTCAAACTGTTGAACGTGATACATAAATGTGATGAAAACAGCTGTAATTAAAAGTTGAATCACTAAATTCAGGTTGGATGGTCAAGAAGCTTGAAGTGGTTCAAATGAGATAGTTAACAGGTTTTGAATTTGGAAAGTTTGAGAGTGATTGAGGTTGAGGTGATGATGAGTTAATGTTGGTCGTGATAAGAGAGAAAAAACGGACAAGTACGAGAAAATCAAGTGATAGGTTGATCACAAGAGAGTGATGCAAGAGGTCGCAGTTGCATTCATTTGAAAACATTTGACTTTTAGTCGTTTTCAAGAATGTGCATGATTTTTGCACATATGTGCAAAAATGCGTGTGCACCTTCTTTCACATTTTGGTTTACCAAATCTGTTTTTTGGGTCACATATGCAACCGAAAATCAGTGCAGCTTTTTGGTGGTGCACAGTCGGTTGCACATGTCACACACCGGTTACCGAAGTGGGTGTACAGTATGACTATTAGCATTTGATTGCTCAAGATTCTTTTTGTTCTCCTACTTCCTGCACTACTGCAGTTAAATTGCTGAATTCTTCCACCAAGTTTTTGTTTTCTTATTTGAGTCTTTTCATAGAGCTCATATACTACACCTTTCTGTCAAGGGTACACACATCTCTAGTGCCAACACCTGAAGCTCCGTGGTACTCCACTTTTTTGAGTAACTTTTGTGGCAGTGCAATTTGCTGTTACAGATGAGACTTGCTCCCAATCCACTTTTAAAAAGCACCTGGTACATAAGTCATGCAGCACGGCACCTATTGGAGCCGCTCTTGCTCCACTTCACCAATTTTCAGGGCAAGGGTGTGGCACAACTCACGAGGCAAGGTTATTTATTGATATTTGTTTTGCAATTATACACTGCAAGAAAGATGTAAGTAAGTACAATATGATCAAAGAAAATGAATCAAGT